GTGGTGTGGTGGGAGTCAGGCTTAAGGATTGAAGGGATCCATTGGGAGTGGGGAAAAGGCTGTGGGGGACCCTGTGGGGAAGGGAAAGGCCTGGGGGGAACTAACAGGATAAGATCATCTTTGGAAGGCAAGCCTGGGTCTGTGCTTTCATGACATACTAACGTAGCCCATGGATGCATGTCCTGCTCTTCTTCACAAAATTGAGGTTCAAAAGGTATAGAGGTCTTACAATTTGTTTAACGGCTTCATCAGGGAGAGAAGGAGGTAGGATAGTTCATCAAGGTAGTCTTGCTTAACCACCAGAGCAAGATGCAACTGTAATTGACAGACAATTGTTATCTCGAGGACTATTTGTATCATGGCTGGGGAATTCTGGCGCTCAAAATCTGGAGGACACCAAGTTAGAAGAATGAAACTTCACAAGTGGGAATTCCATAAGCAATATACAAAAAACATTACCCAAAAGCCTTTTTGACAAATTGCACAACTTCTGCAAAAAGGAAATATCCAGTACTTTCTGCTGATAAGCAGAAAGATGAAGTTAGCCTTTATCAAACTAATAATTTCCACTTTTTTCTCTCCACCAACTGGTCTAAACCTGAGATGTGTTGACCAAAAAGCATCAGGCCAGAATTTAAATCATTAATTTCTCACCTACACTCTCAATGCAAGATCAGAAATGAAAATCAAACCTTCTTTAAATTAATTAACTTTTGCCTCATGTCAAATTCCTTATGTTCAATAAGGGGTGATTTCCACTTGAGGTACATTCCACAGATTGGATATTTGACAGGTCTCCCCCCATGTGAATCCTCTGATGCATCAACAGGTTGTAAGTATGACTGAAACTTTCCCCACAAACAGGACATTTAAAGGAGTTCTCTCCTGTGTGAGTTCTCTGGTGCATCACCAAGTGTGAAGTTGTAATGAATTTTTTCCCACAATCGGGACATTCAAAAGGTTTCTCTCCTGTGTGAGTCCTCTGGTGTCTCACCAGGTGGGAATTCTGACTGAAACTTTTCCCACAATCAGGACATTCAAAGGGTTTCTCTCCTGTGTGAGTCCTCTGGTGGTTCACCAGGTAGGAATTTTCCTTGAAATTTTTCCCACAATCAGGACATTCAAAGGGTTTCTCTCCTGTGTGAGTCCTCTGGTGTTTCACCAGGCTGGACCTGTCACTGAAACCTCTCCCACAATCAGTACATTCATAGGGTTTCTCCCCTGTGTGAGTCCTCTGGTGTCTCACCAGGTAAGAATTCCGACTGAAACTTTTCCCACAATCAGGACATTCAAAGGGTTTCTCTCCTGTGTGAGTCCTTTGGTGTGTCACCAGACTAGAATGGTAACTGAAACTTTTCCCACAAACTGGACA